GGGGAACAATATCATTCTTCCTCAATTTCCTCTATTCCATATAGTATGGAGTAAACATGTTTTTGGCAGCCACAATATCTATACAAAATATCTTCTTCCATGACTCGACTATAACTTTGACCTTCTTCTTGTAATTATCTTCATAATATACGAACTTGGATCCAGATATCTCATGTGTAACTGGAACAAACTGACGTGCCCCATACTGCCAGAGTGCTAGAAGTGGAGAATAGCCAACTTCTCCCCATAACCCAAGTAACATTATAACGCCTGAATCTCCACATCGGTAAAGAATGCCACTATGAGTAAGCCAATGGGCACTCCTTACGATGTCCTTGTCCTAGAGGTGTTTGAATACCTTTACCCATTTCTCATTTGGAACACCTTCTCGCCATTTTGTGTAAGGAATTCCTCTAAAGATGAATATGTTGTGTTGAACCAGCGATAAGAAATTCCATCAATCTTCAAAAAATGACTGTGAATCCAAACCTGAAGTAGCTTTGTGCATCCTATAAAATGTCCTCCACCGGTCCTTCTACAATGGTTTAATTAGTGGAAGGTCTCAGTTAGGATTACTGGTGCAGGGTTCGATCGCTTAGGCAGTTGTTCGAATAATTCCACCACAACTGCCTTGATGTATCCCAAAGTTTTTGGGAAGATAACTAAGTCGTAAATACCTAGTGCAAAAAGATCGATCACCTTCCATTCATCAGGGTGATTCTTCATTAACTGCTTGATGTGAGTCCAAGCAATTCCTTCACCTTTGCGTTTGTGTTGAATCTGGTCAGTTGCCCACTTTTCATCAACCCTTGCAACCTTTGTCAACCCATTCTTGAAAGACTGAATCTTGATATATTTGATGAAGACCCGGTCCATCTGATTCCATCACAATGTAATAAGTTAGTGTACTCCTCAATTGTGGGCACCATGTCTTCTTGATTATATGTGAAGTAGTTATATCCCATATTCTAAAATTGTACCAATGCCTGAACTAGAGGTTTGTCTATCTTGACATAGAGTAGGTGTGCGATATCACCGTATCGTTGGCAAAACTTCTGTTTTCTATTAGCTTTCCAACTTCCCAAATATTATGCAATTCCTTAGTATCATTTTGTTTGAGGCTGATGGAAGTGTAGCCAACCATGTCTGACACTAGTTGTCTTGCAGGCTAACCCTTTTTTACCTTCTGAGTCCTTTCTGACCATAGCCGTACTTCTGCATTTTTGACCTCTGACATTACAACCCCTTTGTCCATTAATGCCAACTATTTGGGTTTTAACAAATACTTTTATAGATCAACACCTCTTTAAATGATGCAAATGTTAAAAATAGAAAGGAAAACAAAAATGAAAGGAAACAAGTTAGTGAAATATGACTAATAATTAAAATTAAAATTTTTTACCCCACATGTTTTTTATTCCTACTCGGACATGATCTATATCCCGTATTTCTTGAACAAATCCTAATCACATATATTTCTAATTCACATGCTTTGAACGGAAATAAAGAAGGAAATAAATCAAGCATCCTAGGTTTTGAAATAAAGTGTTGGGGTGGGCCCTAATTCCTTACAGCATCACAGTTTGGTTCTAAAAAGGTACCTGAGTTCTCCTCGCTGGTGCCCCATTGGGCCTACCAGCCTCTTAGTCCTAAGCCCATTACAGGCTTATGTGGACCAAGTTAAACTCGAGAAGATACATTCCTTTATGTTTGTACGGAGAATAAATTCACATAAAGACATACGGTTATGAATCTTGAATGTTACTTGCTAGGCCTATACGAAGAATAAATTCCCACGAATGTGTCACTTTCACCCCCACTTAAAAAAGGTTTGGAGCTCGGGAATAGAGCATGAGATGAAATATTTTTGAAAAAAAAATTTAAAAATTCGAAATCATGAAAAAACCAGTACAACTATTTATTTGAAAAAAATATAATCAAAGGTAAATAAAAAGGATCGAAAGGATAAATTGTAATCCAAACTTATAATTTTTGCTTAAGAAAATAATCGAAAATCATTTTTGGCCTGACTCACTTACATGTCCCCAATGGAGTCGTCAAACTGTCGTAACTGTCCTTTGGGTGGATCCGAATCAAGTTCCAACTTTGAATGATTTATTGGGACCACCCCCAATCATTTAAAATTAGGTTGATTGGACACCTTAACTTACCATTTAACTGATCTATGTTATATCAGGAATTAATCAGATCCGGGAGTCGATTATAGCCAAGGAATGATTAACACCCTTGTACTTCTCTTTCGGTACCAATTTGATTTCCCGGTTGTCTTAATTGTGAAATTTAAAAGTTAAATTAAAATTTAAAAATTCGATCTGAATTACTTACTTTGGACCAATTTTAAAATTACCCTAAAAAGTCAAATTAATATCAATTAATAAAATAAAATAAAAATTAAAAAAAGAATTAACTTAAAAGAAAACAAAAATTAAAGATGGATTAAATTGAAAAGAACTTAAAATTGGGGGTTAAATTGATGTTAATTGAAAGCTGTAAGAAAAAACTAAAAGTTAGGGGGTCAATTTACAAAATATAAGAAATATAAATAGGGACTAAATTGAATTAATTCAAAATTCAAGGGTAAATTTACAATAAGTGATCAAAATGAACTACGTATCAAACCTTCAGGGACTGCAAAAATAATTTAAGAATCTTTTAATTACACTTCAACCCCTCCTATAAATACCCTCAATATCAAAAAAAAAATTCATTTATCACCATTTCAAAAAACAACTCTCTCACATCCTCTCAAATCCTCTCAACCCTCTCCTTCACCCATCTAAGTGCCAACCCAGTTACCACTGTAGCCCGACCACTTACCACTGTACTCGCCGTCCGGCCGCCGCTTTGGCCACGGCCACCGGTGGCCGGAAAGACCCAAACTAACCTAAAATGTTCTCCTCGACCTCCCGAAGCAAAACATGACCCCCCAAATCCCCAAAACCAACCTCAAATAACATATATCTAAGAAACAATGCTCGGTTCTTTACCTTTTCCGATGAGCCTTTTCGTTTTCCGGTGATCGTTTCCCTCTCGAGTCGAGACCGAAGCTGCTCTCTATTTTTTTGGGGCCTACGAAAATGCTTTGCTCGGTTTTGTTTTAGCTTTTTGTTGTTTGGTTGCTTTCGGTTTTGTCGATTATTATTCTTTATCGGTGGTTTTTTTATTGTATATTACTTGCGTTTTTCTCTATTGGTTCCTTGGTTGCTGTTTTTGGGTTTTTCATTTGTTCGTTATTTGTTGTACCTTGCTTTGGTTTCTTGGTTTTCGTTGTATCCTTTTCGACAGCTTGGTGGGGGTATTTATACCCTCTCCGCTAGTGGTTGTTTCAGATTATCCCAGGATAGTGCAATCTCATTTTTTGATTTATTCAGGTTGTTCGTGGTTCGTGTTTGACCGAAGATATTAGGATGGTTCAATCCTGAGTTGCTCCAATTTTTGCATTTCAGGTGTCGAAAATCTCGACCGACTGATAACCTTGCTGGCGCGTGATTTCCACGCACTGTTATCAATTGCTTCTGAGCTTTTGGAACATTCTAGATTTGATCTTGGTCTTTGATCTCCATCTTGATCTAACTATCTTCATTTGTGTGACACCAAAGTTAAGGGTAAAACCCTAACGTGCATATGAACCTCTTTTTGGGTAGATTCGATCTGCTAGGTCAGGCGGGCTCATCTATTGGGCCTCCTCTACATGGCTTGCTGGGTCAGGCTCGCCATTGTGGTTGGGCAACTAGACCTTTGTACTTTGTACCGAGGTTTTGAATTTTTTGGACCCCTGCTGGACTTGGACATAAATAAAAATTAAATAAAATAAGTAAATAAATGGATAAATAATAAATATATAATATAATAAATAATACTAATAATATGTATGTATTAAAACTATATAATATATATTGTATTTCAAAAACAATATAATATGTTTTCAAAGATTATATATTATATATGTTTTCAAAAACCGTTTAAAAACTATATATATATATATATATTCAAAATAATATGTTTTCAAAAACTATATTATATATATTTTCAAAAAACCATTTTAAAAAATATATATTATATGTTTTCAAAAATATGTTTTCAAAAATTATACTATATTTTCAAAAACTATATATATTATATATTTTTGAAATTATTATTATATATATTATCATATATATTATATAATGTAAAGACCTTTGCAGTCCCGGATGAAATAAGTGTGTACAAACATTAGCCAACATCAGAACGGTTACAAAACTTAAGATTAATTCAATATTGTTCAACTTGAGATTGATCTAATCAAGATTGTAGTAACTTAAGATTGAACTTTCCTAAGCTAACATGCGTAGATAGGCCTACGCGCGCGCCATTTCTCCCTCTCACCAAAAAGAAGTATAAAATCAAAAAGGGTGAAATACACATGTTGTACTTAAATTATTACTTTTATTCAAAATTATGCTTAACATTAAGTTTATAGTATCATGCTATTAAAAATTTAACGGACGTAGTATTTTTTATGAGTAAACTACATAATTCGTCATTCAAGTATCTTCTAACTCATATTTTGATCACTAAAGTTTAAAAATTTTCAATTTAGTTACTCAACTTTTAAATTATTCATCTTTTAATCACTTTAATTTATTTTATTAGTATTTTTTGTAATATTATATTATTTTATTAATATATAATTAAAATAAAAAAATAAATTTAAACTTATACTCAAACCCAAAAATTATATCATAAACTCTCATATTAATAAAATAAGTTAGTGTAACTAGAATAGGAGTAATTTGAAAGTTAAGTGCTTAAATTAAAAAAATTAAACTTTAATGATCAAAACAAAAGTAAAAAGATAATTAAGTGATGAATAATGTAGTTTACCCATAAAAATATCACACGATTCCGTTAAATTTTTTTACCAAATATATTAAAATAAAACATAAACTAAATATTAAATATAATGTTTATAAAAGAAAAAAAAAACCAAAAGGTTTCAATCCATCCAAAACCCTAACAGAAACCAGAAAAGAACAATGTCAATCGTGTTTCTAAACATCTTAACCCCTTCATCTTCTCGTTTAAAACCTTATCTCGGAAACCCTAATTCATTGCATCCAATCACCTCCCGCCATCTCAGCTTCCCCATTTCGGATTCCAGTGTTTTGCATTCACAAACCCGAAATTTTCTAAACTTCAACTCCCACCGTCTATCTTTTAATTCCTTTCTCAAAGCCTTCAACTCGGATTCTTCAATCGCCAGCTCACCAGAACAAAATCCCAATTTGAATGCCAATTTAGATTATTTTCTGTCCGCCGCTGAACTTTTGTGCATTTTCTCTTCGGCTGTTGTTTCGGCTGTTTATGCCGTTTTGGATTGGAAAGGTGTCGTTTTTGGTGGGATTTGGAGAAGTGTCTTGGTGTGGAGAGTTTTAGGATTGGTGGGTGGGATTGCCATCGGCGCATGTATTAGGAGGCGGCAGTGGCGGAGAATTTGTGTAGAAACGGCAAGGGCTGGTGGAAAAGGATTGAATTTGGTTGGTAGAATTGAGAAATTAGAGGAGGATTTAAAAAGTTCCACGACGGTTCTCCGTGTTTTGTCTAGGCAACTTGAGAAGTTGGGGATTCGATTTCGGGTAACAAGAAAAGCTTTGAAACAGCCTATTGAAGAGGTAAAATTTTTTACTTTTTGTTGCTTAATGCTAAAGTTTTTAGTTAGAGAATTAAAGGAGTTGAGTAATTCTTGTTGCTTAAAGTTTAAGTTTCTAATTAGAGAATAACTGGAGTCAAAGAAATAGCTAACAATAATTGAAAAATTCATGCATTTTGATTTTGAGCTGAACGATTTCTTTCTCCATGCTTGCGCTGATGGAACTTCTGAAGAAATCAACTAGAGAGTGTGTTTCTTAGCAGTTAGTTTACAGTTATGTGCTAGAAAATAGATACTAAAAAGTTACACAATTGGTAATTATTTGTAGCGGCAAGGAAATCTAAGGCTAATTTGTAGCGGGTTTTAACTTAAACTGTTTCCGTGTATATTTTAAAAAGTTACCCAATTGGTAATAATTTTGGTTGTAACCGAGAATGTTACATTGCCACATGTTTTAACATAAAATGTTACCTTGTCTACTCAAAAAGTTACACAATTGATAATTATTTCGGTTACAACTGATAATGTTAAATGAGTTTCTTGACGGTAACTTTTTAGGTTGCAACAAGAATAGTTATGCAATTTACATAAATTGTTATAAAGAACGTAATATTTTCGGTTTCAATTTAAAATATCACCTAGTTTACTCTAAAGAGTTAACCTAGTAAAATTTTCGGTTACAAAACCGATTGCAGCCATTTTTGGCCTTATATTAACTGGTTGTATTTCAGACACTTAAAATAGCAACTCGTCCAAAAAAAGCTAAATTTAATGTTCACTAAAACTGTACATTTCAATTAACCATCAAAAGCTATCTGATAACCATTTGCTTTTCCGTAAGTTGCTATTTATTATTTACACTAAATTTAGGATATAGACGAACATAGCTGCTTCAATTACATGAGCTCCATTTGATTGTGCCATCTTTAGCCTATGTAACCCAGCATCTAACATTTTGACTTGATATAGATGAATAAACTAATGTTTTCTGTTGCTCCAATGTGACCAACTGATCATAATGAACATCTTATCACCCTGCTGCCTAATATGAGTAAATGGGAAGGAAAGCTGTTGGTAACAAATTGTATTTTGTACTTTATTCTTGTATTTATATAACTTCCTCTACTATCTGAAGAATGCAGCCTTGGCTCAAAAGAATTCTGAGGCTACTAGAGCCTTGGCAGCTCAAGAAGACATCCTGGAAAAGGAGCTCAAGGAAATCCAGAAAGTTTTGCTGGCAATGCAGGTAACATTTACCCATGTTTGATTAAGTTTTTGTTTTTATAAACTTGTCTGTAATATGCTCGGTTGGTATAGGAGTTCCATAGTGGCACTTCATGTTAAATATGATTATGATATTATTGTGGGTTTTAAAAAATTGTGGCTTGGATTTAGCGAGCATTAAGCCTTACTAAAACCAAGAAAGCGTAAATGAGCTGTGATTCAAAGACAAGAAAACTAAACTGCTTCAGAGGAACTAGCGTCCAGTAAGCCTTAAAAATTGTACCAATACAGCTTGTGGCTGTCAATATGTGAAGTAATTATTAATAAAACATGTGATTTTGTCATTGGATTCTCAACATGTGATTGGTGATGCATTCTATAGGAGCAACAGCGAAAACAACTTGAGTTAATCGTTGCAATTGCAAAGTCGGGGAAGTTGTTTGAAGACAAGCGGAAACCTAGCCAAGAGAAAGATATTGTTGAAGCATTTAAGTCAACTGAGGAGGCAAAACAAATGGAAGTCCATCAGAGTCAACCTTTAGGAACAGCCAGGGGATCTAGCAATGACAAAGAGTAAGAACTCTAAGCAGCAAATGTAATTGGTGTATATGCAACAGTGTAATATCAGTTTGTCTGATCCTTCAGTATGAAAGGCTTGTGAACTGCCATGGATGGGCATAACATTTTTTTTGGATTCTGCTTGCCTGTTGGCGAATTGACCCTTGCAGCCTGCTGCAATTGAAGATCGAGGAAGTGCTAGAAGTGTATAAATTAATTAAATGGAACACTTGCTTATTTTCAGTTGAGCATAGAAACATGCCAAGATGAAAGAAATGGCTTTTTTTGTGTGGTTAAGCTTGTATCTGTAATTCTTCTTTTGCACGATATCCCTGATAATCAATACAAAAACCTTTTTATTGGGTTATTGTTGTATTTTCTCTGATGTTATAATTAGATATTCAACAATAGTTTTTGTTTTGGTACATCCTGTTGGGAGCCTTTTCCATATTCACCACTTACCTGCTCTGCAAACTTTTAATATTGTACCACTTTCTTGTATCAGAAGCTTTATCTGGAGAATAGTATATCTTTCTTATCCAATGGCCGACTCTAACATGGATATTGTCAAAAGCATCTTGCTGTAGGCACATGTTTCACATGTGATGATATTTGTACCCATTGATATACTCTGCTCACATGGAATTCCACTATCATCATTCAGTTGAAAATATGCCTTTGTTCATGGTGATTGAAAATTGCAGTAACAATCGAATTAGATGCTTCAAAATGATGGATTCTAATGCAATTATGAGGGAATTACTTTCTTCTTTAGCTCGACAACAATGAAGACAAAGGCTTCAGCTTAATGATGAAGCATTGGAAAAAAATACTTTAAAGGCGAGGTGTTATACTTTTCTTCCGATCCTCAAATGTGACCTTTTGAAATACTTGATTGATTATAAACGTAAGCATCAACACAAAGTCAAAAAGATAAAGGGAAAACCACCTTTCTGTCACAATCTGATCAACTTCTCTGATATTATTCCATGGAAGTCACCTACACACTAATTTGGACCATCTTTACAAATCTCACTTCTAATTGTATAATTATTGTAGGGACACTATGAGATATCCATCTCAATTACTAGGGAAACACATTCTTTTGCTACATATTAAAAGCTTTTTTATTACAAATACTAGGAAAACTTGTTTATATACTACATTAGAGAGACAATGTTTGCACATAGCAAAGATGTGCTCACTTGCAGTCAAGATTGACTCTGCATGTGGAGCTGTCAGCCTAATTTCGAAATGCAACATACACCAATCCTTTAGGGGGAGAGGGGCCAATCGAATGCAGCATTTTCCGAGTCAAAACCGTCGTAGAATCTCATTTCCACATCTTCCATACTTTGGTCATCTTCCCAATCCCCATCTGACATCTCATCATCGTAATCAATACAGACATCTCCTGCAACAAAGTCCCAGCCTTTCATCCCAAAATAGTCCACAACAAGAGGTCCAACCACCTTCAGCCGGGAGAATTTCTTGACAGAACTTTCATCTAGTTTCACATGCCAACATCCTCGCACATCTAATAATTCAAGGTCAGGGCAGCATTCAAGTATTTTGAGCACACCTTCTGTGCTAAAAAGCAAGTATGCCACCTCAAGTTGCTTGAGCTTCGGCATTGTAGTAGCAATGGCAAGGGCCTCATCATCCTGAGACAGTTTGTCAACTACCTCTAATGGATGCATTGTTCTCCTCAACCCCATTAGTAACTTACAGTTCTTGCCTATTGCTTCAAGGGCCGGGGCTCCAATATTCCTGCAGTAACTAACATCCAAGAAAGTCACCGAAGAGAGCCTCCCAGCAACCTGTTCCACTACTGAATCACTAATTTCACTTCTTGGTAGCCGTAAAGTCCGAAGAGATTTGGCACTAGAAGCAGTGGGAAGCAAGAGTTAAATAAAAACAGCTATATCCCAATTTACAATATCCAAGAAAGTCACAAACCAAAACAGAACATAACCACTCATTGAACATGGGACCCTCTTCAGATTCTTTACCATGATGTTGGTTATCATTCCCTACTCTATTAGTAGATTTTCAGAATACAAAACTTCAGCAAATTCAGAGGAAATGAGAATCACAAGAAATTTCATTCAACCATACATTAAATTTCAGTTCAATATTAGTTTCAGCAACAATATATAGCCAATGCCATCCTTTTCCCATTTAACCTGTTAAACTCAAAGTGAGAACTGAAGAATCAGAATTAGTTTAACTCATGAAATAATTTGTGAAGCATATGCTTCACACAGAAACCTATAGTGTTGTGTTTTTATGTTCTTTCCGTGATAATGGATATCAGATGTAGGGAAATAAAGAGAAAATGCAATTGAGAACAATAGATGGCAACATGTTATGTCCTTACTTATCTGCAATTAACGAAAAGCTCTGCCCATTAGGGAGACCGGTAACACACAGCTTGCGGAGTGAGCCCGAGCTTCTAGTTATCAGCATTTGAAGCATGCGATCAAGGATCTCAGGCCGACATTGTTGGCTCCATTGTTCAATGTCGATGTCTTGCCAGCAATAAGATCCACTAACTGCTCTCCGCCATGATTTGCACACCCTTGGGATTACAGTAAGTATCTCCTGGAGTGGAAGATTTTTGAAAATCAACCCAAGCGCATCTGGAAGCAATTCATCCCAGCACCTGAACTCACCATCCTCCTCCATCTGTAAAAAGACAGACCCAAAAACTGGACCTTATAACACAGAAAAATAAAGACAGACAAACTAATTATAATCTTGTAGTAGGAAGAAAATAAAGATGCTGAGCAAAACAAAAGGGAAGAAAACAAAGATACTTGTAGTCCATCGTAAGCCAATGAAAATGGGACATAAATTACTAAAACAAAAGCAAATGCTAAATAGAAAAAAAAAAATGGAACAATAAATAAAATCTTGGTTTACAAGTAAAAGAGGAAAGCTTTAGACAAAAAGACTACTGAAAATGAAGAATGAACACTTTACCTGTGCTCCACATCTATATAGTCTTTTCAAGCATCTAGAAACCCAAATCCAAACACCTATTGAAATCTTCTATTCCGAGCACATTGATCAAATAGCTAAGAGGAAAAAACCATACCCAGATCAAGAAACAGCTAAAAGAATCCAATTATTCAACGGAAAAAAAACCAGAAAGAAAATTAACGGAGGAAGAAACTTTTATGCAACAAACCAAAAAGGCCACTAATAGTTAGAAAAATAGATCAGAGAGAAGCAAGCAGCTGCGTTTTATAGGAATGAACATCACTAAACAAGTCAATGCGATAACGCAGTACCGCAAAAAAAAAAACTTATCTTTGAACAATAAGACTGACAAGAGAACATGAACATATGTACTAGTTTTACACTTTATAGATAGCAAGAAAGAAAGGAATAAGGAGAAAAAGTTCTACCAGAACTTGGGTTTTTTCTTTCTTTTGCTGGATCTGCAAACAACGCTGCTTATCCGCCACAATGAAAGGTTAAAAACAGAAGAAAGCTGAAATAACAGTGAAGACAGAGAGATTAGAGCTATAAGTGACAGCAGATAACTACAGGAAGAACAAAGGAAAAAAAGGAGAAACGTGAACGAAAAGTGTTGGTAAATTACTGAATGGGAATTATATAATAGGGTAAACAATATTAACGATCCCTTATATTTTTTGTTTTTTCAATTTTGATCATCATTTTTCAAAGGCTTAAATGCACCATTACACCCTAAACTATACCATTTGTACCGAGTTGCCATTTAAAGTATTTTTCGAGACGTTTTGTCCCTTGAAGTTTAAATTTTTACATCAGTTGGTCCAAACCGTTAATTCTGTTAAGAAGCATAAGGGTAAATTATAAATTATTGAATGGGGAACTATCGGGTAACAATGGGAATTATATAATAGGGTAAACAATATTAATAATCCCTTATATTTTTTGTCTTTTCAATTTTGATCATCATTTTTCAAAGGCTTAAATGCACCATTACCCCCTAAATTATATCGTTTATACCGAGTTGCCCTTTAAAGTATTTTTTCGGGACGTTTTGTCTCTTAAAGTTTAAATCGTTACATCAGTTGGCCCAAACTGTTAATTTTGTTAAAAAGCAGAAGGGTAAATTATATATTTAGTCAATCAACTTGTAACCCCCACAGACCGATAAGGGTAACCAGATTCGATCCGGGGTGTCACATTTGGGCCACCGGAGCGACCCACTATAAAAACAGTGAAAAATTTAAAACTTTTATTGAAACGTGTAACTTATAAAATCAGTTTTCACTATTTAAAAATAAAACAGATTTCCAGACTCGTATATAAATCAAAATAAAATTACATGCCCCCTAATCACATGTACCATACTCTGCAACAACGTCGGAAGAACTCCCTTACTAAAGTCGATAGATGCACTGGTACAATTCTTTTAACCTGAAAAAGTGAGTAATAGAGTGAGCTTCGAAAAGCTCAGTAATACAGAACTACTAGATGATGCTGAAGAACGTGCAGATACAAATAAACATATATATCCTTATTATTTCTGAACATTTACTGATTTTTATGTTGAACAGAGATCCTATTGATATTTCAGATGGTAACAGACAATGAGCTTTCAGTTCAGAGAAATATTTCGGATGACTAAGTTCAGGAGATCGTAATAGGTTATCTAGTCTGTTCCCGTAAAACCAGTAAAAAGATACAGATCTTTTAAAATATATATATATACCCCCATCCGTCACGAACAAAATATGTAGGTTCCCCAGAACCATACAATCCCGTCACGTCCAGTAAGGCCCTGAGCACACAGCCGAGGAACCGGTAAGTAAGGCCCTGAGCACACAGCCGAAGAACCTCCAAGTAATCTTCCTCCAACAATACCCCCCCAATAAAACATGTTTCGTCCGTAAACGGATATATAAAAAATCAAAACATAATTCAAGTCAAGTATCATATCAGAATCCAGGTCATGTATTAGATCAGAATCCATATCAATATCAGATCAGAATCCAGGTCAGGTATCATAACAGAATTCAAATTTGAAATCAGATAAAATATTCATATAATTAGGGAACACACCAGAGTTTACAGTTATTATTTAGAGGTACTGTATCAGGCAGAGAAAATCAATTCTTCAGTATGTCGATAGAATGTTAGAATTTAGAATCACTATTGGAAGAGTTCATTAACTGACAGAATCATCAGTTATTCAGAATATGAATTATCAGGATATTGTCTTATTCGGACAGTTTTCAGAAGCTGTACGTAATCAGAAGGGTATTCAGAATCTTTTATATCCATGTCAACTGGTCAATTCATTTTCCTTCTAGGGTATTTACTCTTTAATACCACAAATTCTTGTCCGTAGACCATTTTCGGAATCATCGCTGAATAAATCTTCCAATGTCTTTATTTCATTTCCACGCTTCCACAATATCATGAAATGCTGACGTACTTGATTAATTTGTTCATAACCCATTGTAATTGTACACTACGTAAACTCATCAGAGTTTCCAGACTTATCCAAATCACTTATTAAATCCTCAGTCATTGAGGTTACCTAGTTCATTTAGCAGTCATGTCCATTACAGTTACTTCAGGATTTTCCAGAGTAATTCAAACGTTCTTGAATTTTAGATACATGTTGTACTTCCATTCCATTCAATCTGGTCTTCGTGGTTGATTTGTCGAACAAACGTCCAATTCTTAGTATTGAATACGATCTAGAGCTGAGCTGAATACTTCCAAAATTTATCATCGAGCCAAACTTGAGAAGACGAACACATGTTCCAGTAATATCTATGTCATTCAGGTATTGACATAGCTTTAGGGTTGATCTATTCACTTAAATTGTTTTCCATTACCTTTAAAGGTAGTCCAATACTTATGCTTACTTGGATTCCTTAATTAATCCAAGACATTTACTTAATTTAGGCCATAAGGGTATTTTTGTAATTTTGATATTCAGTTTTATTCCATTCATTTCAGAGCTCGAGGATATTCAATCATTCCTGAGCTTGGTGATATTCTTGAATCATTTACATTACAAGGGTATTTTGGTCATTTTACAAATTCAGCGTATTTCAATCCTTTCATTCCGTCCGATCTTACTATTATATTCAATCTTATCATTTATTTTAGTCATTTCGAACAATTATGACAGCATAATACCCCCGATAAATTACTCTTCAAGTATTTACTCATTATTCGAATATTTTCAGGTCAAGTGTCTTCTCAGATTTTACAAACAGAAAATCAAGAATTTTCCTGAACTAAGTCAGGATTTTAACAATCAAATCCGTACTTAATCGAGTTAAGTACGAATCCTCAAAGTATTTTCTCATTTAGCGTTAACTAGGACTATTTTACCTCTCAAGGGCATTTTCGTAATTTCTTAACCAGATAATTTCGATATTAGCTCTTAACGAAAATAATTATAATTTAGAGATCCTATGATCAATTGCTTTTCCGAACATTCTCTTATCTTGAAATGATTCCTTAATAAAATTCTAATATCTTGCGCAAACCCTCTAGGGTTAAAAACTGGTTATCCAAAATATCCAAGTAAAACTAATATTTCTTATGCACATCAATATTTTTTTATCAGATCAATATGTCTGTAAAAACCTCTTATCCAACTTCCATATTCCAATATTGTCTTTTTATAACACAAGGGTATTTTCGTAATTTTACCCTACTGGAGTATTCTCATAATTTCTCATCCAAATACCTTTAACATTTAACCTTTGATGAAATAAATTATAAGTTACAGATCTAGGTTGATTTCTTTATCACTAAGCACATAACTTGTAATTTAATTCTAACAATCCCTTAATTTCTTATAAAAGTCATCTGAACCATAATCAATTACTGAACCTTTTTACCGTATTCAGATCGAGTGTAGAACTTCATTAATTACACATATGAGACCAAACATTTCCATTCATGCATTTACCAATACCAACATGTTCTATAAAGCATAAAGAGGTAGTAAAGTATTACCTCGATTTCCGTACAATACTGATCGACCATAAAAATTCCATTTGAACTCCTTTGATCTTCAATTCAACTTCCAATAATTCCTCAGATACATAACAACATAAATTATATAAAAAACGGAGCTTAATTACTATAAACGGATCAAATCGGATGATAAATCAGTGAAAAACAGCTTACCGGGTTCGAATTTGGCAAAACGGACTTCGGATTCAAATTCAGGACGTCGAAAACATAAAATATGACTTTTCAAAAATTTGGAATTTTTGGTCAAAATCAAAGTCAACGGGTTTGACTTGCAATTTCGAGACCTTGGAGTCCAAATTTCGAAAAACGGACTACATAATCGGATTTGGAACGTCGAAAAATGTTAGGATAGGTATACTAGGTTAAAGTCAAAGGTCGTTTAATGCCGGTCAAAGTTTTGGTCAACGCCGGTCAACGGTCAAAGGGTCAACGGGTCGGGTAAACGGGTCAGGTCGGGTTTTGACCGGTCAAACCGGTCATTTGGACCATCCCCACAAGTAATGGCGGCGCGTGGGGGCACATGGGCACTGTTCCGGCTGCGTAAAATTCACAGGAAAATTTCTAAAAATTATTTTGAGCGATTTCGAGATACTTACAAAGCTCGGTTCAAATTTTTGAATGGCGGAGAGCTCGATTTCAACAAATCAGAATCTTTGACCGCTTCACCTCCTCACGCGCAGTCGTCGACGGAGACCAAGAATGACACCGACAGACTCGGAACGGAACAAGGAACTCGATGGTGCGGGAGGTGTCGTAAACGGATGCTCGGATCGTCGTGAATCGATGAAAAACCAACTAAAATTGAGTTATTACCGACGATACTTCCGACTGAAATTAATGACGAACGGCGACGATTCACGACGAAAGGTTTGAGGGGTTTTGTTCCTTGGTTGACAACGAACACGATGGTGGTTTCGGCTCGTCGATCGAAGGTCGGACGACGAGTAGATCAGAGTTGGAAGGAGGGTTGTTGGAGAAGGAAAATCTGGAAAATATGAAACCTGCGCACGGGGAAGAGCTTATAATTCATCATATATAAGAAATGGTTAAATCATGGGTTTAGCCACTGAACTTCATGTACTTCTTAAAATGGTTTGCCAACTTTACGATTTTATAATTTAATCCTCAATTTTCTTCCAAAATACCAATTAAATCCACAACTTTATAATTTCTAAAATTTAGCCCCTAAATTGGGGTGTTACACAACTATTTTTGCAGATCCATTTTTACCACTAAACTATTTTATTTTTCAAAATCATCACTAAACTTAAGTTTTTATTCTGTTTGGTCACCTAATTCGATTTGATTTATTTTAAAATTTATATATATATATATATATATGGGTAAATAAAGGAATAAAAATAAGACTAAAAGCTAAAAAGCATGTACAACAACATTCTCTTCCTGCAATAAGGAGAAAAGTGAAGCCAGAGGAGTTGTGAGCAAAACCCCCGAATCCAATAACATTACACTACCGAGAATTGGTCAATAACGACATTTAAAAGCACCGCTAAAAATGCTGTCGGCATAAAAAATACGTCGCAATTACAAACGCTGCAACTGTTAGCGGCGTTTCTACTCCAAATACGCCGCAATTACAAAC